CTCAACATGGAGAGAACCTTCAGAAAGCCTGGAATTAAAAGTAGATATTTATCTTCCAGTTTTAAATTTATTAGCATTATATATTTAGAATTAATGGCTGTTACTGGTGGCTGAATAAATGCTTTGACAGACTAATTGTTTTTTCTAAAACTCATGGGTTTTTCCTCCTCTGGAAGGTGCATATGGTTGAGTCCATTCCTGCCATAGCTCAGATGTAAACTAATACTGAGGAGTTGAGGTGAAGCAGTCATTAAAGTCAATTAAAAATGTAAAATACTCCAAGCACACAATAGTAAGAGAAAGCATAAAATATAGATAGTAATATAGCAATTCTTTTGCCATGTAGGGGCACAGAAAATAAGGCAGAAATTATGTTCTGTAATGTTTTCATCTGCTATAAGCACTTGGGTGATGTGGGTCTTAGCCTGTGATGCCCTTTACAATTATTAACTTGTTATTATTACGTTACTTAAAATGCAACTGCTGGATCCTGAGCTGTGCCAGTGTGGGTTTCTATCGGCATCAGAATGTTAAAAGCAAACAAACTGCTGGTGGCAAAACAAGAATATTAAACTGTCAACTAATTAGCGACCACTTACTGTGGATGCACTTTTTTTTTATTTATTAAGAAAGAGAGAGTTTGTTCTACAGTATGGATGTTGCCAGCTTCAGACCTAATCCCAATTTGATTTAATGCCTCGTAACGCTTATTTTCTTGGTGTGTTGTTGTCTTATACGGTTCATTATAGGTATTACTGTTGTAATTAGTCATGCGCTATCAGTAATAGGCCACTTTTCCAGCCTTGTCCAGTCTTTTAAATTGTCCTTAAAATAATAACACAAGTCATTTAAAGAAGGCCTTGACATGTTTTTAATGTGACTTTATGAAGGTTTATATAAGTAGTAGATGCTCTTTTTTTTATTGAGCAGTGCTGTTCAGAATATTCTTGTTAACTTCTGGAGCAAGCACTGTCCCTTTACACAAAACAGGACCATATTGATTCCAGTCAGAAAAGTGAGTGCTCACTCGCCCTGCCCCACTGGGAGGTCAAAGGACTGTCAGCTGGAGGGGGTTTAGTGTTTTTATCTGGTGCTGCAGTTGTACGGCTGTAACCACTAGCCACCTTTTAGTAAGTAATGGTCAGTGTAGCTTCACATTGGTATTCACTGCAAAATGGCAATGCTGTTAACTTACAACACCCCGGGACAATGAGGGCAGTAATGATAGACTCCTCTCAGAGAAATAGATGCTCCAGTTACAAGCAATAAAGGCACTGATTGACTGGTTTGGACTCTGATTAGAAGTGTTATTGGATAGAGGCCACAAGGCAGCTGCTGACGAGACTTTGAATTTACTCTCATTCTTGCTGTTTTCCAGACAAACACACACATATGTGCGCTGCCTTCACACAGAGCATTTTTACAAAGGGAGGAATTCAGCTGTCAGTGTTTTTTGAATGAACAAAATGGCTCACAGGAGGAGGAGAGTCTCCCACTGTTATTTCTGCTGAGTTCACTTGACACATGTTAGTTATACATACACATTCACAAAAAAAAAAGTTCTCCTACTATGGGATCTGATCTACTGTAGTGACAGATTATTGATTTAGCCAGGGTTAATATCCTATATGGTAAGGTTGAGGTGAAATGAATGCCGTAAAAATTAATGATGTGAATTGCAATTCATAAAGGTTTCACAGGTAGAATCGTATCAGAACAAATGTAATATACTTATTTCTGTCACAGTACAGAAAATGAAATGAAGAATTCTTTATGTTTAATAAAAATTGATGGATTTCTGAGAGATAGCTGGTGTAGATTAGGAGGGAAATGACAATACAGATGGGGGACAGTTGGCAGGGAGTGTAAAAGGCCAAGTTCCAGGAGGCTCGGGGCTGTTTGTTCATCAGAAAATATTACCCATATTATCCAGCATGCCTCACAGCAGCAGTCTCTGTCCCTCCGACCACCACCCATCGCTGACTCTGCTGAGAGGGAACATTTACTGTGGAAATCACAGTTTGAGGAAGCATAAAGAGGAGGCGAGGTTGTGCCATTGCAGAAAGGGTGTACACCAGTGACAGTCAGGAGCCTGTTATAGTCAAATGTATTTAAATTTTTCAAATCTGTTTCTTCTGCACAGGCAGGCTGAAAGGAAGCATAAAAAATACAGCACCAAGCTGAGGGTGTGCTCTATGTGTAAATGCTGTAGGGCAGTGCTATATACCGTAATGAAGAAGCTCACAGAGAAATGGATTTTTTTTAAAACCGCTGGAGTCAAATAGCAAGAGAAAAAGATATCAGCGATATACAGACAGACTCGCGGCCTTGTGTGGGTGGACGGGGAAGGAGAATGTCTCTCTTGAGGTTTTTGTTTAAGGGCACTATTCATGATCTCTGGGTCTCTGTGGAGTTCTTCACTACGGAACTTTTTTGCACTGACACCACTCAAACGCTAGGTCACTGCACTGTTAGTGATGAAACATAAAACATGGCTTCCGGACCTGAACGCCATTGTTACCATAGTGATGAGAGAGCTGGAGCGGCTGAACATCCCCTGGAAAAAGAGACTGTACATCCAATGCTTTCACCATCACATTGTTTAATGGTTTTAAATTGAATTTGGGTGAAATTTTAATCATAATATTGAACAGAATCTTTGTTTTTTTGCTGTTGTTTTGTATTATCAAACTGACTCATTCATGATCTCTTGTATTATTACATTATTGTTTTTGGATTAAATACGTAATTTTAGAAAATGTGCTACAACTATTTAATACAAACACAGGCTTCATTTGAGATGAGTTTGCCATGTTGCTAAGTAGATTAGTTCTTACTCTTTATTCTGTGCAAACTTAATTCAATCAATTTAGAAGTTGTAACTACAGGAAGACAAATAAACAGCATTTTTTTGCTCATTTTTGTGCACATAAAAGGGTGTTATAGGATTACCATGGCAAGCAAATGGAGCAAAAGAGAGTAAAAAAAACAAAAAACCAATGTAACAATACAGACTGCAGGCGTAGAGAGAAGCACAAACAGCACACAGAGAAACAAAGCCTTGAGCGGTCAGATTGTGTCTGTTGAAGGTTCAGAGAGCTAGAAACAAGATGCTGGGATGTAACCCTGGAGATGACTTTTTGTCTGATCTCAGTGTTTTCCTGGTCAGGTAGAGCCTCATTAAATTCTTTGTACAAAAAGTAACAGAAGATCGGGAACAAAGAGGATCATATTTTGACAGACATAAAAACTACATTAATATTGATCACTGTATAAATAATCTACACACGGCATTTAGGTTAACAAGGGCATACATCTACAAAAAAGAGCTTGCTTGGTTTTATGCTGCTCATATCTCCAAAGTTTTCAGACAACTGTTCATATCCATTCAGGATGTGAGCCATATCCCCCACCAGTACGAACTGTCAGTGATGGTGAAAAGTCATGCGTGTACAGAGTAACAATAACGTCCATGTCCATTTTTTTACCCAGTCCTCTCCCACTTGGTTTGAGCACATTTCACTGTTACAGAAAGTGTCTTTCAGCTTTAACTGAATTGAGGCTGTTCTTTAGCTTTTCTTTTGCAGCTTTGTCTTCACTGCAGTGATCAGCAAATATTACTGAGTAACAGTATTGAATGAAACATAAGATGGACTTCTTGTCATGACACAGTAAGTGCTGCGTCTTCAAATGGATCTGAATTTTAACTCTCATTTTGGAGTCAAGCCATGCAACAGCAAAAGGATTTGGCTGTTTCTACTGATTATAAAACATGAAATAATGGTGTGAGAAGTGTTTTGGACACTTTCAGTGATAAGGTAGACTCGGGTAGTAGCATAGGCAGTGAGGAGGTTTTCTAAATCAGATGTGTTTTTCAGTGTGCTTCTTGAAATACACCACCTGAGCTATAAACATGTAGAACCCCAGTCTTGTCTCAAAAGTGACTTCTTTGCTCGCTAGCAAAGTTAGCTAAGCTGCTGATATTGATGAATTCGATGCTGTCATTGCTCCCTTTGTTGGTGTTGAGTGGCTTTGTCACGTCAACTGACAGAGCTGTCAGCAATCATGCTGACACACACTTTAGGGCATATCTTACATCTTGTGATCTGAATATCCTACCTGTACAAGGAAAGCACATTTTAAATGAATTCAAGGTGTAAATCCATGCCAAGCACATTGCAATCAGAACAGTTGGATCAGTCAGACCACATCTAGAGGTGACCTGGGACACCTGACATTAATAGTATACACAGAATTCAAATAAAAAGAGTATCATCAGGTGTAAATGTAAACCTCAGTCTTCCCAGTCCGGCTCCCCTCAGAGCTAACATTAAAAATGTTGATTTGGGTCATCAATACTGAATATTTTCTAACCATGCAGCAATTTTGTAGATTCTTGAATTTTCTTAACTTTATGGCAATCATTGTTTTCTGAAAATTGGTTTGAGAAACAACTTGTAGGACACTAAATTACAGTGCGGCCAGTATACAGTAAGTTCTGTAGTTACCTTACTGTTACATTATTCTACTGAAAGCACAGACTCAGAAGCCCACAACTAACTTATGGTACATCCTTGTACTGGCCAGTTTCTAAACAGGTGGCCCCAAACAAAATCAGTAACAATACCTGGAAAGGATACATTGCACTACAGTTTGGCTGTTCAGCAGCCAGCTTTTGGATTTCTGTCTCAACAAATAAAGATAAAAATACAATTAGGGACATGTGTGAATACATTTGTAATGGGAAACAGTTCATCCTGGGAATGCTGTTGTAATAATTAGATCAGACTTTATGGCTCTGTTTCTGTTTTGCTGCTTCACTTCTGAATCACATTTCTCTCCCTCTCTATGTTATTCATCTTCCTCTCCTCCCCCTCACCAGAAGAAGTCATTCATTGTTCTGGCAACCCTGCAGTGTTTTCATTATCACCTGCCTCCTCACCCTCTCTCTGTCACCTGGCTAAAGATGGATGTCGGGTCATCAAAAGTATACGGAGAAAGCCAAGTCAACCACCACAGTATCATAGCTCTTCATCTTTATGGCATTTAGTTCAGCAGTATCATGTGAGTGGTAGCATTTTTCCATCCCTCCCACTATAATAGCTCATCAAACTAGATTTTTCTCTCAGTGTTAACTCCTCTAGAAAACGGAAAACCTCATGCCAGTTCTCTTGAGTGTATATTGCATCAGTGCTTTGTTGTGCATTCATTTCAGTTTTGTCTCAGTCAAGCTTTTGTCATTCATAGGGATGGAGACTTGGCATGCATAGCATTGCATACACATACATCCACACAATGGCTTCCTTTCTCTGCTGCAGGTGCAAAGGAGACTCGTGGGAGAGGGCAGCATATTTCCATTTCAAAAAAAGATGGGAACATGTGTGAATATGTGTGTGTTTGTGTGTGCCCAGGTGCAGTCTAAATCAGTACCTGTGAATATAGCGTCTGTGTTTTCTAAAATGTCTTTTGTGTCTTACAGGTCATCAAACAAAGACTAAAAATGAGAGGGAGGATAGAAAGAGAGCAAAAGAGAGTGTGTGAGAGAGCTTACAAATGTGTGTGTAACAGAGATTTTAAGAAAGACAGACAGACATCTGGAGAGAGAGAATGAGAAAAGGACAAGACTAAGTAAAAATAGTTTAAATATTCATATTTTTGTTAGATGATTTATTCATGAGTAGCTGATATATTCAGTTATTTATAAACTGCTTGCGTGTCACTACTCTTGAAAGAAGTGTTGCTCTGTGTTCAGAGATGAAGTACACAATGTAAAATGGAACATGAAACAGCCAGCATGTGCTCAAATGATGCCACCCTAAAGGTTAGCTGTGGGTAGGAAATAGAAGCAAATTTTTTAATGTGTGTGTACTGTGTGTCACAGCTTTTCCACCACCTGCTGTGTTACTCGCTAAGTATTCTCATCCATGTTTCTCTCCCAACTCCAGATTTTGACCCCAGTCTCGGGCTGATGAATGGCATTGCTCCCATAAATCCCATGATGGTCTGGGCCTGGTGCTCCCTTCCCTCTCTCAGGGCGTTTCAGTTGTCAGAGAAATCACCCACTACTGGAGCTGTGCGCTGCTTCCTGCATATCCCAGCCAGTCTCAGAGTAAGTTATCACTGCTGTTGTAAGCATCGCAGAAACACTACAAGCGGGCCCACCTTCTGTGAGTCTGGTACATTTGATTTATCTGTGCTGTTGTGTATATTTTCTATGACTCATCTCTGTCCTCAATCTCACACTTGGTCTCTGGATAGAAACATATGTTCCATTCAGCCAGACAGATGTTAAAGGAGGTGATAGGATGTATTTATGCATGTGGCTGTGTATAATTGGAAGCGTGACCTCTGTGAGCACATAACACAGTGCTGCTGTCTCCAACATATTGGGCCACAGAGGTGACGGACTCTAGCATCCTCTCAGCTCAACCCACCCTTATCACTGTATCTTGTTTTAATTCTCCTCACCTGCTTTCGCTACTGCGCTATACATACTTCCTTTTTCTCTGTCATTAAATTGCATTTCCTCTCTTGCCACCTCGTGTTTAAGGGGTCAAATCCAGTTAATTACACGGCATATCTGAACCTTCTTGCTATTAGTCTCAGGTCAAAAGGTCTCTGTCAGGTGCTGTCTCTTACATATATTTAGTGACAAGGAAAAGTATATGACCTCTTTAAAATTATCTGGCGTTCTGCAGTAATTGGTCTTGAAATATGATTTGATCTTCATCTAAGTCAAAGGTACAGACAAACACATTGTGCTAACACAAACAATTATAGTCTGTAGTGTCCTAATTGAACTCACCCATTTATCACTCACAGTCATGGTGGAAAAAGTGAGTGAACCCTTGAATTTAAGAACCTGCTGA